AAGAACTAAAGATGAAACAAGCAACGATGAACAATTCAATAAAAGAAATTAAAAATACTCTAGATGGGATCAATAGCAGAATAACTGAGGCAGAATAACGGATAAGTGACCTGGAAGATAAAATAGTGGAAATAACTACTGCAGAGCAGAATAAAGAAAAAAGAATGAAAAGAACTGAGGACAGTCTCAGAGACCTCTGGGACAACATTAAATGCACCAACATTCGAATTATAGGGGTTCCCAAAGAAGAAGAGAAAAAGAGAGGGACTGAGAAAATATTTGAAGAGACGATAGTTGAAAACTTCCCTAATATAGGAAAGGAAATAGTTAATCAAGTCCAGGAAGCACAGAGAGTCCCATACAGGATAAATCCAAGGAGAAACACACCAAGACACATATTAAGCAAACTGTAAAATATTAAATACAAAGAAAACATATTAAAAGCAGCAAGGGAAAAACAACAAATAACACACAAGGGAATCCCCATAAGGTTAACAGCTGATCTTTCAGCAGAAACTCTGCAAGCCAGAAGGGAGTGGCAGGACATATTTAAAGTGATGAAGGAGAAAAACCTGCAACCAAGATTACTCTACCCAGCAAGGATCTCACTCAGATTTGATGGAGAAATTAAGACCTTTACAGACAAGCAAAAGCTGAGAGAGTTCAGCACCACCAAACCAGCTTTACAACAACTGCTAAAGGAACTTCTCTAGGCAAGAAACACAAGAGAAGGAAAAGACCTACAATAACGAACCCAAAACAATTAAGAAAATGGGAATAGGAACATACATATCGATAATTACCTTAAATGTAAATGGACTAAATGCTCCCACCAAAAGACACAGATTGGCTGAATGGATACAAAAACAAGACCCATATATATGATGTCTACAAGAGACACACTTCAAACCTAGAGACATACAGACTGAAAGTAAGCGGATGGAAAAAGATATTCCATGCAAATGGAAACTAAAGAAAGCTGGAGTAGCAATTCTCATATCAGACAAAATAGACTTTAAAATAAATACTATTAGAAGAGACACAGAAGGACACTACATAATGATCAAGGGATTGATCCAAGAAGAAGATATAACAATTGTTAATAATTATGCACCCAACATAGAAGCACCTCAATACATAAGGCAAATACTAACAGCCATAAAAATGGAAATCGACAGTAACACATTCATAGTAGGGGACTTTAACACCCCACTTTCACCAATGGACAGATCATCCAAAATGAAAATAAATAAGGAAACACAAGCTTTAAATGATACATTAAACAAGATGGACTTAATCGATATTTATAGGACACTCCATCCAAAAACAACAGAATACACATTTTTCTCAAGTGCTCATGGAACACTCCCCAGGATAGATCATATCTTGGGTCACAAATCAAGCCTTGGTAAATTTAAGAAATTTGAAATTGTATCAAGTATCTTTTCCGACCACAACGCCATGAGACTCGATATCAATTACAGGAAAAGATCTGTAAAAAATAAAAACACATGGAGGCTAAACAATACAATACTTAATAACGAAGTGATCACTGAAAAAATCAAAGAGGAAATAAAAAAATACCTAGAAACAAATGACAATGGAGACACGATGACCGAAAATCTATGGGATGCAGCAAAAGCAGTTCTAAGAGGTAAGTTTACAGCAATACAATCCTGCCTTAAGAAACAGGAAACATCTCGAATAAACAACCTAATCTTACACCTAGAGCAATTAGAGAAAGAAGAACAAATAGCCCCAAAGTTAGCAGAAGGAAAGAAATCATGAAAATCAGATCAGAAATAAATCAAAAATACATGAAGGAAACGATAGCAAAGATCAATAAAATTAAAAGCTGGTTCTTTGAGAAGATAAACAAAATAGATAAACCATTAGCCAGACTCATCAAGAAAAAAGGAGAAGACTCAAATCAATAGAATTAGAAATGAAAAAGGAGAAGTAACAACTGACACTGCAGAAATACAAAAGATCATGAGAGATTACTACAAGCAACTCTATGCCAATAAAATGGACAACCTGGAAGAAATGGACAAATTCTTAGAAATGCACAACCTGCCAAGACTGAATCAGGAAGAAATAGAAAATATAAACAGACCAATCACAAGCACTGAAATTGAAACTGTGATTAAAAATCTTCCAACAAACAAAAGCCCAGGACCAGATGGGTTCACAGGCGAATTCTATCAAACATTTAGAGAAGAGCTAACACCTATCCTTCTCAAAGTCTTCCAAAATATAGCAGAGGGAGGAATACTCCCAAACTCATTCTACGAGGCCATCATCACCCTGATACCAAAACCAGACAAGGATGTCACAAAGAAAGAAAACTACAGGCCAATATCACTGATGAACATAGATGCAAAAATCCTCAAACTAGCAGAAGAATCTAACAGCACATTAAACGGATCATACACCATGATCAAGTGGGGTTTATTCCAGGAATGCAAGGATTCTTCAATATACACAAATCAATGAACGTGATACACCATATTAACAAATTGAAGGAGAAAAACCATATGATCATCTCAATAGATGCAGAAAAAGCTTTCGACAAAATTCAACACCCATTTATGATAAAAACCCTGCAGAAAGTAGGCATAGAGGGAACTTTCCTCAGCATAATAAAGGCCGTATACAACAAATCCACAACCAACATCATCCTCTACGGTGAAAAACTGAAAGCATTTCCACAAATATCAGGAACAAGACAAGGTTGCCCACTCTCACCACTCTTATTCAACATAGTTTTGGACGTTTTAGCCACAGCAATCAGAGAAGAAAAGGAAATAAAAGGAATCCAAATCAGAAAAGAAGAAGTAAAGCTGTCACTGTTTGCAGATGACATGATACTATACATAGAGAATCCTAAAGATGCTACCAGAAAACTACCAGAGCTAATCAATGAATTTGGTAAAGTAGCAGGACACAAAATTAAGGCACAGAAATCTCTGGCATTACTATGTACTAATGATGAAAAATCTGAAAGTGAAATCAAGAAAACACTCCCATTTACCATTGCAACAAAAAGAATAAAATATCTAGGAATAAACCTACCTAAGGAGACAAAAGACCTGTATGAAGAAAATTATAAGACACCGATAAAAGAAACTAAAGATGATACAAACAGATGGAGAGATATACCGTGTTCATGGATTGGAAGAATCAACATTGTGAAAATGACTCTACTACCCAAAGCAATCTATAGATTCAATGCAATCCCTATCAAACTACCACTGGCAGTTTTCACAGAACTAGAACAAAAACTTTCACAATTTGTATGGAAACACAAAAGACACCGAATAGCCAAAGCAATCTTGAGAACGGAAAACGGAACTGGAGGAATCAGGCTCCCTGACTTCAGACTATACTACAAAGCTACAGTAGTCAAGTCAGTATGGTAGTGGCACAAAAACAGAAAGATAGATCAATGGAACAGGATAGAAAGCCCAGAGATATACCCACGCACATATGGACACCTTATCTTTGATAAAGGTGGCAGGAATGTACAGTGGAGAAAGGAGAGCCTCTTCAATAAGTGGTGCTGGGAAAACTGGACAGCTACATGTAAAAGTATGAGATTAGATCACTCCCTAACACCATACACAGAAATAAGCTCAAAATGGATTAAAGACCTAAATATAAGGCCAGAAACTATCAAACTCTTAGAGGAAAACATAGGCAGAACATTCTATGACATAAATCACAGCAAGATCCTTTCTGACCCACCTCCTAGAGAAATGGAAATAAAAACAAAAATAAACAAATGGGACATAATGAAACTTCAAAGCTTTTGCACAGCAAAGGAAACCATAAAAAAGACCAAAAGACAACCCTCAGAATGGGAGAAAATATTTGCAAATGAAGCAACTGACAAAGGATTAATCTCCAAAATTTACAAGCAGCTCATACAGCTCAATAACAAAAAAACAAACAACCCAATCCAAAAATGGGCAGAAGACCTAAATAGACATTTCTCCAAAGAAGATATACAGACTGCCAACAAACACATGAAAGAATGCTCAACATTATTAATCATTAGAGAAATGCAAATCAAAACTACAATGAGATATCATCTCACACCAGTCAGAATGGCCATCATCAAAAAATCTAGAAACAATAAATGCTGGAGAGGGTGTGGAGAAAAGGGAACACTCTGCACTGCTGGTGGGAATGTGAATTGGTACAGCCACTATTGAGAACAGTATGGAGATTCCTTAAAAAACTACAAATAGAACTACCATATGACCCAGCAATCCCACTCCCAGGCATATACCCTAAGAAAACCATAACTCAAAAAGAATCATGTACCAAAATGTTCATTGCAGCTCTATTTACAATAGCCCAGAGATGGAAACAACCTAAATGTCCATCATCAGATGAATGGATAAAGAAGATGTGGCACATATATACAATGGAATATTACTCAGCCATAAAAAGAAACAAAATTGAGCTATTTGTAATGAGGTGGATAGACCTAGAATCTGTCATACAGAGTGAATTACATCAGAAAGAGAAAGACAAATACCGTATGCTAACACATATATATGGAATTTAAGAAAAAAAAATGTCATGAAGAACCTAGCAGTAAGACAGGAATAAAGACACAGACCTACTAGAGAATGGACTTGAGGATATGGGGAAGGGGGAGGGTAAGCTGTGACAAAGCGAGAGAGAGGCATGGACATATATACACTAACAAACGTAAGGTAGATAGCTAGTGGGAAGCAGCCGCATGGCACAGGGATATCGACTCAGTGCTTTGTGACCGCCTGGAGGGGTGGGATAGGGAGGGTGGGAGGGAGGGAGACGCAAGAGGGAAGAGATATGGGAACATATGTATAACTGATTCACTTTGTTATAAAGCAGAAACTAACACACCATTGTAAAGCAATTATACCCCAATAAAGATGTTAAAAAAAAAAAGGATGATTTACAAAATCACATCTAGGGGGTTGTAACCGAAAAATCAAAGAGCTTACCTTACTGACACCAACTTCAGGGATTCGGAGAGTATGCTCCATATCTTTTTCTCTGCAGAGTTAAGTAAAATGCCTTTAATTATTTTTGAAGCATACATAAATGTAGCACTTAAAGAATTTTTTTAAAGATAAGTTTTTTTGTTTTAAAAGATAATGTTAAAATGCAAGTCTATCACACTAAATCTGGTTTCTATAATGCTACTCTAATTTCCTTTTTGAAAGAAGGTTCCAGAATTACTTTTACTCTTTGGTACATCTGTCACAGGCTAGTAAACATCCAGTGAGACAAAATGTCCTTTGTACTCATGTCAATCACTTTTTCCAGACCTGTTGACTGTTTCCACTTCTATTACTAAATGTAAAAAAAGTATAATATTTCTAAGAATTTAAAATTAAGATATCGTATGGAACCTGTTCCATACATTACCTTTCCAGTTGGGAAGAAAGGAAATTATCCTACTCATGATTAAAACCTACCTCTCTACCAAGCTGGCTGAATTATAAAGGGGTAAAGGAAAACAATCAGAGGAGGTCAACAGTGGGTTTAAGTAATTTAAACCTAAAAAAAGCAATACAAAAGGTAAGAAAATGACAAAACCTCTGTGGAAGGTATCATATCACCAAGATTTTATCTCTTTACATAGGCAGTCCCCTTTAGGGATAATGAGGTTATATCTCCAATTGTCTTCCAAAAGCAGGTGACAAAAGGTAGGTGTCAGAATATTTTTTGAGTGGAAAAGGGAGGGACATGGATGTCACTTTTTTCCTATTCAACCAGTACCATGCATATTTAATGATTAACTGCTCAGGAAAAGTACAGTCCACTGGAATAAGACAAATACACAAATATAATAACACTAAACATTTTTACCTTCCAATTGTAGCAGGATTTACAGCTGTAATGATAAAAAGTGATCCTGTCTGCAACACAGGTGATCTAATTACAATTACTCTAATACATGGGGGCCAAATTTTTTCTTCATCTGCCAAAGAAAGAAATGTGTAAATATTAATTCAAATGCTATGGGAAAAAATCAGAAATGCATAGGGATGAGTAGGAGGCATACATAAAGTACAAATATATTGATAAAAATCTTCATTCTGTTTAAAACAACATTCTTAAATTCTGCTATATCACATACACAGTAAGTAAGGTTTAACAATGTTACCAATTTAAAATGGTCAACCTGTGGGACTTCCCTGGAGGTCCAGTGGTTAAGACTCCACACTTCCACTGCAGGGGGCACAGGCTTGATCCCCAGTCAGGGAACTAAGATCCCACATGCCGTGCAATGCGGCCAAAAATAAATAAATTTATAAAAAGATCAACCTAAAGATATTCAGCACCTACCACAATTATAAAATAATCAACTCTCTCTTTTTTAAGGTCTTGGAATTTGAAAGTATCCCAAAAAAAGCATTTTTACATTAAGTGAGAAAAACTGAGTCTGCCCTTTTTAAGAAAAAATGAGAGGAAATTCCATTAAGAACAAAATAAGCTCATATACACCAATATGAATTCCTGAGTTTTAAAAGTATATCTTTATATCCTCAAGTAAAATAAATACTAGATTTACCATAATACCTATGTAAGCTGAATTCATGGACTACTCTTTTTAAAGGCAACTGCTTTCCCTCCCTCAATTACAAAAGTGGACAAATATCTAATCCACTAAAATAGACTTTGTACCTACTTTAGGATTAGAAAGTAGGTAACTTGGTTTTGTGTTTTTACTGACTAAGCCATTCAATGCAATGAAACTTCAGGATCCAAGTACTAGTCATTTATTCACATCCTACTGTTGAAAAATAACCAAGTAGTTATAATTTTTAATAATGTCATTAATCTCTTTAAAACAATCAGCTCACTTTTCGGCAGATATATTATATGGGTTAATAACACTTTTAACCATTTTGCACTTTTACAATGACCATACTTGGTTATTTATATAAAATTAAGTAATGGCCATTTACTCACCTTCATCTTCAGAATCTTCTGCAGTTACATTGTCTTCACTGGTAATGTCTTCATCATAACTGTCCTCGGTCTGAGAGTCTGTAATTTCACCTTCTTCAGGCTCACTATCAGTGTCTATGATTTTCTCATCTTTAAATGAAGCCGAATTATAAATGTTTTCATCAAGAGGAGATTCTACAGTCTTTGCGCTAACTGGAACAGTATATTTGGGGGGACTCTTTTTGTAATGAATGTCTATTTTGGCCTTCTTTTTCACACTTGCAAAATCTTCTCCCTCACTGCAGCTTATATGTTCAATACTTGATGTTTTTTGATCTTCTGAATTCAAATTCTGGAAAGAGGTGGAAACAGGAGAGAAGACTCTTAAACATGACCATCTTATATTTAATGCTAAATGTTTCAATGAATTAGTGAAGATATATACACACAGTGAAATAGCTATTATCTCTAGTGCCTCTTCCTCTCATGTTCCTTTTCCTGGTTAATGATATGACCATCCACTTATCCAAATCATAAGTCTTTGACATCTCCTTAACCACCACTTGAAATCAATTACCAAGTGCTATAGACTATGTTTGAAATTTATCCCAATTTTCTCTCCTTATCTATTTTCAGTGTCTTAACTGTCCCAGTCCAGGCCCTCATCACATATTGCTTGGACATGTGACAGCCTAGAACAATGCTGTCAAAAATAAAATGCAAGTTATATTTTATACCTTAAAATTATCTAGTAGGGCCATTAAAAGGGTAAAAAGAAACCAGTGAAATTCATTTTATCTAACCCAGTACTTACAAAATATTACTAATTATATATAAAATTAACATTTAATCACTATAAAAATTACCAAAATATTTTACATGGACTTTCTGTACTAAGTCTTCAAAACTGAGTGTAGTTTACACTTACAAAGCATCTTAATTAGGATTAGCTACATTTCAAGTATTCAGTAGCCAGATGGAGCTGGCTGAACTGTGCAGGCCTAGAGAATACAACTAAACCTAAATTTTCTTTCTGAACATTGAGCCAATTATCAAGTCAACATACATAACATAAAAAATTAGCTTTAATTACAGCAGGGATTTAAAGGTCCAAATATACCTAATGTAGCAGAACTGAAGTTTTGCTAAAATTTAATAGAGAGTTGGTTTGATAATACAAAAAAAGTACAGATGAATCAGTTGCATCTCTTTTGTTCCAAAATTCCAACTTACCTGGCATAAGCCTTTTATTATTTATTACACATGCATACTGGGCATACCCTAGGACAAACGAACAAATCTATTATTTTAACTTTAGAAGAAACAGAGAGTTATTTTCCTTTGGTTTGTAACACAGTCTGAATTTTCTTTCTATATTAGAGCAACATGATGAAGTGAATTCATATGGTCCGCTGTTACTTTATAAAATATGAGACCATCTTAAACACACTTTTGTTTGTCTTTTAAATTAATTAATTTATTTATTTTTGGCTGTGTTGGTCTTTGTTGCTGTGCGCAGGCTTTCTCTAGTTGCAGTGGGTGGGGGCTACTCTTCGTTGTGGTGTGCGGGCTTCTCATTGCAGTGGCTTCTCTTGTTGTGGAGCATGGGCTCTAGGCGTGCGGGCTTCAGTAGCTGTGGCACGTAGGCTCAGTATTTGTGGCTCACGGGCTCTAGATCGCAGGCTCAGTAGTTGTCATGCACAAGCTTAGCTGCTCTGTGGCATTTGGGATCTTCCCAGACCAGGGATGGAACCTGTGTCCTCTGCACTGGCAGGCAGACTCTTAACCACTGCACCACCAGGGAAGTCCCTAAACACGCATTTTTAATAGCAGCATAAATTCAGTTTGAAGACTGGCTAAACACTCACAGTGTGATAGATAAACTATACATATTTCCGGCAACATAAACTCACCAAGAACAACAACAAGGGCAAGGAGCTGAAAAACTATGAGGGGGCTTCCCTGGTGGTGCAGTGGTTGAGAGTCCACCTGCAGATGCAGGGGACACGGGTTCGTGCCCCGGTCCGGGAGGATCCCACATGCCGCGGAGCGGCTGGGCCCGTGAGCCATGGCCGCTGAGCCTGCGTGTCCGGAGCCTGTGCTCCGCAGCGGGAGAGGTCACAACAGTGAGAGGCCCACGTACCGCAAAAAAAAAAAAAAAAAAAAAACTATGAGGAACTTTAAAGGCCACTGTGAATTATGGCCAAAAAATTTCCCTATCTATATATGCTTTAAAAAAAAAGTTTCCAATCTTACATATTTTATTATTACTACTGCTTATAGGACAATACATGCAGAGGAAAAATGAGTGAAATTGCAAGAGGTACTGCTTTTTAAAAACTATTTGTCAGTCTAGAATGTTAGATAAATATTCATTAAAATATAAGAAAGGCCCGGTGCCTACATGTGGGCATTAAGCATATATGCATATTTCAAGTTATTACTCCAATCTCTTCACCCTACTTCCTTCCTTCTGTATACTCTACACTTCCAAAAAGTAAGGCTCAAGAACATCTTAAAACTCAAGAAAAAGATGAGGATGTCCTAACTGCTTTCCTCCCATGCTTCACAATTACCTTTTAGAATCCTTGGGGAATTCTCAGAATTTCATCAGGATTTTTCTTAAGTCACTGTCCTGAAGTTAACATATTTTTGAAGGATGGTAAAGATGAACAGATATGGGAGCTAAGCTGGACCAAAATCTCACAGAATGCTTTCAAATTTCATTCTCTAGTTTGTCAGGAAAGGTCATCTGAGGACCCCTACATGTTCTTTGCTTTGCTAGGGAGAAGTATTCATAATGCATCCTTTCAAACAGTTCAACCACTAGTAATAGGTAGACGTCACTAAAAAATAGATCTTAAAAAAAAAAGAAAAATCATTTTTGCTATTTTAGTTACATAATCTTCAATTCCTAGGTATTGCCAGTGAAAATAAAAGAAAAATAAAGACAAATCAAATAGAGAATTGAGATAAAATTTCAAGAGTAGGGGAGGTGGCCAAGGTGGTGAAGTAGGAAGACACTGAACTCACCTCCTCCCACAGACACAGCAAAATTACAACTAGTTACAGAGCAACTATCTATGAGAATAACCTGAACACTAGCAGAAAAGATTTTCCACAACTAAAGACATAAAGAAGTAAACACACGATACATATATACAATGGAATATTACTCAGCCATAAAAAGGAAGAAAATTGGGTCATTTGTAGAGACATGGATGGACCTAGAGACTGTCATAGAAAGTGAAGTAGGTCAAAAAGAGAAAAACAAATATCGTTTATTATCGCATATATGTGGAATCTGAAAAAACTGGTATAGGCGATCTTATTTACAAAGCAGAAATAGAGACACAGACGTAGAAAACAAACCTATGGATACCAAGGCAGAAAGCGGGGGTGTGTGGGATGAATTGGGAGATTGGGATTGACATACATACACTATTGAAACTATGTATAAAATAGATAACTAATGAAAACCTATTGTATAGCACAGGGAACTCTACTCAATGCTCTGTGGTGACCTAAATGGGAAGGAAATCCAAAAAAGAGGGGATATATGTATACATACTACTGATTCACTTCGCTGTACAGTGGAAACTAACACAAAATTGTAAAGGAACTATACACCAATAAAAACTTTTTTAAAAAATTAAAAGAAACAAAAATAACCACATGAGATGGGTAGGACAGGTGGTGACCCACACCCCATGCTGGCAACCCACAAATGGAAGGAATATCACAAGCACAGAGGTCCTCTACAAGGAGCAAGGAGTCTGAGCCCCAAATGGGGTCACCAGCCCAGGGGTCCTGCACTGGAAAGATGAGCCCTCAGAATGTCTGGCTTTGAAAAACCAGCAGAGTTTATGTTCAGGAGAACTCGAGGGATACAGGAATAAGATTCTGCTCTCAAGGGCACATGCAAAATGTCACATGCTCTAAGTCCCAACACTGAGGCAGTAGTTTGAAAGGAGCCTGGGTCAGCTATTTTTGGGAGTCTGTTCTACCCCAATAACACTGGTACTGGAACACACCACTTTGGAATTTTCCTCTAGTCTGTTAGTGCTGGCGCCCCAGCCCTGCCCACCAGCAGGCTGGCACAAGCTCCAAACCCCACCCCTGGCCTGCCAGAAAGACAGCCATGTGGGGACCCAGCTTCACCCTCCAGTGAACCATTGAGCCCCCAGACCATGCAGCCAACTTCACAGGAAGACTACCCTACCCTCTAGTAGGCCTACAGCCACCATACAAGGCATGGCCTCACAGCCAACCAGGCCAGGGGCCAGCCCTGCCTACCAGTGCTCCCACAGTAATCAGCCCCACCACAACAGAAGGATGTATATGCAGCCCACATAGGGGACACCCCTAAAGCATCTGGTTCTGGAGACCAAAAAGGAGTGTGCTGCTGGGGCCCCAGAAGAGGTCTCCTAAATAAGGCCACTTCTCCAAGATGGGAAACATAAACAACCTACCTAACACATGGAAATAAACACAAAGAATTGGGTAAAGTGAGGAGACAGAGGAATATGTTCCAAATGAAGGTACAAGACATAACCTCAGAAAAAGAACAAACAAAGTGGAGATAAGCAATCTACAGATAAAGAGTTCAAGATAATGATCATAAAGATGCTCACCAAACTCAGGAGAAGAATCAATGAACATAAAATTTCAGTAGTTAGAAAATATGAAGAAGAACCAAACAAAGCTGAAGAATACAATAACTGAAATTAAAAATATAAATAGAAGGGACAACAAATTAGATGATACGGAGGAATACATCAGCAACCTGGAAAACAATAGCAGAAATCGCTCAAGCTGAAGAAAAAACAGAATTTAAAAAAATGAGTATAATTTAAGAGACCTCTGGGACACTATCAAGCATATTAACAGTCACAATACAGGAGTCCCAGGAGGAGAAGAGAAAGGGGCAGAAGGCTTATCTGAAGAAATCATAGCTGAAAACTTCCCTAACCTGGGGAAGGAAACAGATATCCAGGTCCAGGAAGCACAGAGTCCCAAACAAGATGAATCTAAAGAGGTTAATTACAATTAAAATGGCAAAAATTAAAGAAAAACAGATAATTCTAAAAGCAACAAGGGACAGGCAACTAGTTATCCACAAAGGAGCTACCATAAGGCTATCACTGACTTTTCAGCAGAACTTTGCAGGCCAGAAGGGAGTGGCACCATATATTCAAGGTGATGAAAGGAAAAAACCTACAACCAAGAACACTCTACCCAGAAAGGCTATCCTTCAGATTGGAAGGAGAGATAAAGAGATTTACAGACAAGCAAAAGCTAAAAGAGTTCAGCACCATTAAAACAGCTTTACAAGAAATGTTAAAGGGACAT